CAATAGATATACTGCCTTATTAGTATTCTTTATGTACTATTTAAAAAACGAGCAGGAGTGTTTTATTAGGTTTAAAGCCACGAGCGCGCAGCGCGAGTGGCTTTAGACCTAATAAAACACGACCTGCGAGTTTTTTAAATGGCTTCAAAAACATTTGCATAATAAGCCAAATCTTTATATAAAAATCTTTATAATAAAACTAATAAAACAGCGAAAAGGCCATGCATTGTTTAGCTTGTGAATTTTGACAAATTTTCATGTTGTAAAATTCATCTCAAAGTGCGACTAACCACTAAATAAATATGATTTTTGGTATGTGTAATATTTGGGTCATTCGAAGAAGAAATGTAATATATCTTTACAATAACAAATCCCATCTTGATCAACTTTTTCACTGTTAAAGTTTCCGGATATGATGTCATTAGGTGAATTGAAAATTAGTTTTTCTTTGTTTTTTGTACCAAAAATTCACCTAACGACATCATATCTGGAACTTTGAAAGTGGAAAAGTTGATCAAGATGAGGTTTTTTACTATAAAGTCAAGACACATTTATTCTCAGAATGACCCAAATATTACACATATCGAAAATTATATTTGGGATTAGTCGCACGTTAAGCTATCTAGGGTTTAGGCATCACTTGTTCTCAATTTTGATGCGGTGCGTAGAAATACAAGTGCATACAAGGTCTTTCAGTTGCCTCATGACAGCAAAAGAATTTGTTGAAAAACCTCTATAGACATAGTATAGTTTTAGGAAAAACTGCTCGACTCCTCGAAACACGCAGCATAAATTTTCTCACTAAAATCACGGGCTTCTATATGTAGGCCAAACAGGTAGTATTTTGGTCGTGTATAACATGGCTGGCGGCTTATGGAGCGGCTGCAAAGCGTCTATTACATTTTCTGTTTTACTTGTTCTCTGTGAACGCTGTTGTCAATGGCGAGAAATCGATCATCTGAAGACTTACTCCACATATATTAAACTCTTTGTTGGTCAAGAGCGGATCTATTGGCCAGTTTCTGGCTACGAGCAATCGTAAAAGTTTGTAGCCTGTGCTGTGTCTTAGATCCCTGTAATGATATTACTAATGATCCTATTGCTGGTTCCTTTTCTGTGTCGCATGAAGTGAACAATTTTATAAAACTTACAGGCCTCAAGATTATCCATCAAAACATACAGAGCCTTTGATTGAAGATAAACGAGATGAAGATTGTTATATGTACATCTCTACGCGATGGACTTCGCATTTTGACTCTTAGTGAAACGTGACTAAATCTATTCTCGATTCAGAAATTGCAATTCCCGGTTATACATTGTCCAGGTTAGATAAGGGAAAGAACGGAGGTGTTCGGCTGTATATGCTAGAAATGAGTTATCTTAGCTTTTGTGAGACGTGATGATTTAGAGTTGGAAGGGGTTGAAGGCCTATACAGGGTGTATTAATAGTTATTAATATCCAGTTTTTGATATATATAGTTTCTTTGGGTACTTATAATGTAGAATAATGAAAAAAATTTCTCGAACTCAAATTTTGTCCAACAAACTAAAAATGGCTTGCGCACGAGATTTAAAAGGTTTAATCGTACTTTGAATTAATCGTATTTTGAATTGCTTATGTCAGCAATATGCAAATTAGGTAAAGGCATTAATTAAGCATGCAAAGGCTGATTTTTTAGGAAAAAATGAATAGTCAAAGGGTTTAAACTAAAGCAAATTGTTTGACTGAATTTTGTATAGTAATTAAAAACCCAACACATTATCCACCATTAACTCAAAATACGATTAATTTAAAGCTTTTAAATTTCGTGCGATTAAAGCTTTTAAATTTCCATTTTTAGTTTGTTGGGAAAAACACATCCCCCCCTGATTTACAAAATTTGAGTTTGAGAAATTGTTTTCATTATTCTACATTACAAGTACCCAAAGAAACTATATATATATATCAAAACCTGGATACTAATAGCTGTTTTGCGAAATTGAGAGCAATTTCAAATCTGTTCAGTTTTTTTTATACGCTCAGTATAGCTCGAACTGCTTCTGCCAAAATCGCGCGGAATTCTAATAGGTGCGTTCTACTGTACAGTGTGTATAAAAAAGTATAGCCTTTCATGAAATTTAAATCAAGCATAACGCCATATTCTATTGAATTCATCTGACAAGCTATATAATTGCTTCGAACAAGTTAGCGAGCCGTAAAACAAAAGACTTTCTAGTTATGAGACATGCGCGAACAACTCAATGAAATACCCTGTACAGTACAAGCATCATTATTTAAAATGAAGTTATAATTGATCTCTTTTGTAAATAAGGCCTAGTTTATGCGTCGAATTTCAGTCGAATTTAATTCGTCGAATTTCAGTCAAGTCATTATATCCGACGAAAATTCGACGTATAAATTGATTAAATCCGACGGGATGCATTAAATGCGACGTTGTCGAATTTTGCGACATGATCAGTCGTGTAATGCGACCGAAACGCCACACTGATTTATACGTCGAATTTCCGTCGCATGGAATAAAATGAATAAATTATTTAAATTAGATTGTTATCCACAACTGTACCCTAAAATCAATAACATCACACTTCGTGGACTCCACGAAGTGTGATTTTCAACATGGCGGACAAACAACATCCATGTTCTAATTGCGTAAAATCGACTAAATATCGTTGTATTACATGTAAAACGTACGTTTGCAATCGTGCATCATGTTCTATGCCTGTAACAGACGAAGAAATTGAGGGATGGATTCCAAATGTAAGCGTTGCTTACTGCAACAATTGCTTTTTAAATCCACCATCAAGTCCAACTGATGTTGCTATGTCGCCGACAAAGCTATCGGATGAAGATAATGATGAGACGGACAAAGAAGTCACCTTTATTCTTGGCAAAAGGCATCGCAAAAAGAAAGACTCTGGATAAAGAGCAAAATGGTCAGCAGAGCAATTGGATGATCTCGTTGATGTCATAGTCAATAATGAGAACTTTAAGGAAAAACTTATATTTACAAACAACAGGCGTGCAACAAATACAGAAATTTACAAACGTGCATTCGACCAAATCAAAGAAAGGCAACGTATGTTTCCATTCACCGTTGATCAAATGCGAAACAAGTTTAAGTGGTGTGTCAGCACCTGCGAGAAAGTGGCATTAACCATTCAGACAGCCACAGGAATAAAACGTTTTGCTGCCGAAAATAAAGCTTTTGGGAAATGGTTTGATGGACTATTTCACACTGATCAAAAGTAGAGATTCATGCCAACCTGAGCGAGCAATTGAGCCATCAACCAGCTCTAGTACCAGTAGCACTCCTATTGACCATATGAATGACAACAGTATTCCAGGTGACTTCAATGGTGAAGATGGGGAGGCTGAAGAAAGGGACAGAAAAGATATGTTTGTGCCCACCAGGAAGAGAAAAGATAAACCAAGTGATTCACAGTCGATGTCCAAAATTTTAAAGATTGTTAAATATATGAGCGAAAATGATCCAACAAAGGAACTCTTGCAATTCATGAAAGAAGACGCGGAAAAATCAAGACAAACAGAACTGGAGCTTCTCAAGCTCTTGTCCAATCAAGCTCAGGCACCACAATATGTTCCTGCAGGCTATCTACATCAACCGATTATTCATCACAACAATCACCCTCAACAACAAATGTACCAACAAAGCCCGACCCCACAATGGAGAAATGGTGATTCACCCATTTCTCAAACACATCCTCATATCCCCACCCTTTATGGTACTCCTTTTCAAAGCCACACATCCTTTGATCAGCAAATGAACACATATACAAAGCTGTAAATTTTATTACCACATATAATAATTTAAAATTTATTGAATGTGCTTATAATATATATATATATATATATATATATATATATATATATATATATATATATATATATATATATAACTAACTACAGACGGTACCGTTTCGGCCTTTTGGGCCTCATCAGTGTAGTGCTGATGAGCAGGATGAAAGTAACCACTATAAATAGTTACCTTTGATGTCTATATATATATATATATATATATATATATATATATATATATATATATATATATATATATATATATATATATATATATATATATATATATATTAAGATGAAAATGTTCTAGAGTGTGTATTATATAATTTCCATACCCAGCGCAAGCAGAAAGATGTTCTCTGCCGCGTATATATATATATATATATATATATATATATATATATATATATATATATATATATATATATATATATATATATATATATATATATTAGTTGTGTAATTGTACACTCTGTAGCTCAGTAGGTAGAGCGTCGATCTAGTAATTCGAAGGTCGCGGGTTCGAGACCCAGCCGCGGCAGACAACATCTTTCTGCTTGCGCTGGGTATGGAAATTATATAATACACACTCTAGAACATTTTCATCTTAAAATATAACAGAGTGTACAATTACACAACTAACATAATATATATATATATATATATATATATATATATATATATATATATATATATATATATATATATATATATATATATATAATCGAAAAAGTTATCAAGACGATGAGATGGAAAGCGTTATTTTACAACAACCCTACAAGCAACAACAACAACAGTGATAAATTTGGGTTCCGATCCAGAAAGTGCCCTCCAGTGATAGCAGACATGAAACATTTTGAAAACGACGTCTTCAGCATGGTCAACAGCATAGAATTCCGAAAAATATCCGACCCATTCCAGCAACAATTACAACAAGATATTAAGACGATCCGG